AAGATTAGCCATCATTAGAATGGAAAAGAAGATAGTTTTAATGATTTCCTCCCACCCAGCAGCTTCTCAATGTTCCAAAGTGTCCCCTGACACTCCAGGTCAGATGGGGTGGGGGTGGGGAGGCTGCAGAAAGGAGTGGAAATGGCCAAAAATTCTCCCTTTACCACTAGATGACTTATGTCAGCAGAAGGGCATCAGCTGGAAACAACTTTCCAATTTTACAAGTACCATCTGAGGTAGAACTAATCCCAGAACACAGTAGGTTAATACCTTTATTAGGGTTAACTAAAATGTCACAGAATAAGAAGCAAGCTTTTGAGTTCTCCAGATGGAGTGCCGGAGGTGTTAGGCAGACTTAATTGGATTAGTCTTTCTGCTAGGTGCAAAACAGATTTGATGTCATACTGAGGGCTGCTAAGATAAGGACCAATAATGCTACCATGCCACTACATTATTTTGAATATGCAGTCACTTGGGTCATACACAAGAATACATTTTATTATTTCTTTATGTTTTAATGTTCTGCTGCTGAAATATCCCTGTACATGGAAAGCTAGCTCCAAGGTAAAGTGTTGTTGTTGTTGTTGTTGCTGCTGCTGCTGCTGCTGCTGCTGATATTGCTTGTTCAGATCCATATGGGAAATAAATGGTGGTGGTGTGGAAAATGTTTCCTTTTGTTGGCCAGTAAAACAAGATGCTTGAAGATTGGCAGAAGAAATATCAACAAACTCAGATATGCAGAGGATACCACTCTGATGGCAGAAAGTGAGGAGGATTTAAAGAACCTCTTAATGAGGGTGAAAGAGAAGAGTGCAAAAATGGTCTGAAGCTCAACATCAAAAAAACTAAGATCATGGCCATCACCTCCTCACAAATAGAAGGGGAAGATATGGAGGCAGTGACAGATTTTACTTTCTTGGGCTCCATGATCACTACAGATGGTGACAGCAGCCATGAAATTAAAAGGCACCTGCTTCTTGGGAGGAAAGCAATGACCAACCTAGACAGCATCTTAAAAAGCAGAGACTTCACCTTGCCTATAAAGGTCCACATAGTCAAAGCTATGGTTTTTCCTCTAGTGATGTATGGAAGTGAGAGGTGGACCATAAAGAAGGCTGACCACTGAAAAATTGATGCTTTTGAATTATGATGCTGGAGGAGGCTCTTGAGAGTCCCCTGGATTAAAAAGAGAACAAACCTATCCATTCTGAAGGAAATCAACCCTGAGTGCTCCCTGGAAGGACAGATCCTGAAACTGAGGCTCCAATACTTTGGCCATCTAATGAGATGAGAAGACTCCTTGGAAAAGAGTTTGATGTTGGGAAAGTGTGAAGGCAAGAGGAGAAGGGGACAACAGAGGATGAGATGGCTGGACAGTGTCATCGAAGCAACCAAGATGAATTTGACACAATTCCGGGAGGCAGTGAAAGACAGAAGGGTCTGGCGTGCTCTGGTCCATGGGGTCATGAAGAATCAGACAGGACTTAACGACTAAACAATAACATCAATAACAAGATGTAGGAAATGAAACTGGCAAATCAAAGTTCTGTTACTTTTAAAGGATAACCTGAATATGAAAAACAGGAGACCTGCCTTTAGAGCTGACTGCATATGAACAGCTGTATTTAAATTAGCACTGCTAATATTCACTGCTATTCCATTTGGGAGAAAAAAATGCTCTCATGTAGCTTTCAAAGAGAATCCAGGCACTATTTTCGCATACACGTAAAATCATTATCGATATGTCTCCTCTCATACACTCACTGTTGCATTTCATTGGTGGCATATGCTGTTCTAGTGAACCAACCATGATAGCTTTCTTTAAAACAACAGCAACACATGTACAACTTAAATATGGTTTATTTCACAATGGCTGGAATCCCATTAGTTATGTTCAGAAGCATAACACCAGCAGTGTAATTTCAATAACAAATTACTGAAAGTTGAGAGGTTGGCAGAGTGCCTACTCTAATGTTCTAACTCAAGGCAATTTGCCAATGAAAATTACACCACTGGTATTATGCCAATGGAAATACACAACAGGATTCTGGCCAATTAATCTAGCTGCAATTACAACAATACAGCTGTGGCTCAAACACATTTAATATAATTTATTTGGAAAGTCTTTGATCCTTTGATAAAGAACTGATCTCCCCAGGCCCTAGGGGAAATCTGAAAGCTGAAGAATAGACAATTCTAGTGAACAGATAAGAACACTAATATATATTTCAAAAGTGAATACATATGATACACTAATACTGTACATAGTCCCTCTATCCAAGAGAAAATCAGGACAGCAATGTACTAGGGTGGTAATGGGACAGTTGGAGTATATGTTAATCAGAATTAGGGTTATGTTACTATGTTGTTGTTGTTGTTTAGTTGTTAAGTCATGTCCGACTCTTCATGATCCCATGGACCAGAGCACGCCAGGCCCTCCTGTCGTCCACTGCCTCTTGGAGTTTGGTCAAATTCATGTTGGTAGCTTTAATGCCTCATTACCATATGTTACTATAGCACATGGCTATTATTTTGTTATGAGCTGTTAAGTCACTTCCCACATACAGTAACCTTATGAATTAATGATCTCCAAAGTGTCCTATAATTAACTGCCCTGGCTTAGGTCTTCCAAAATAAATGCCATGGTACCCTTTATTGATTCATTCCTTTTCATACTAGGTCTTCCTCAATATCCTATGATGACTAGTATTAGATTATAAGAAAACACAATGACCCAGCTCCCTGCACATGCAAACAGCCTTCAGATAACATGTGGGTGAATAGAAATTTGAATGCAATTAAAAACAGCATTATTGGTTAGATGTGTATTTTTGTATTCTTTCCATAGTTGTATATTTGCATACTTTTCTAAAATAAGCTCATTATGTAGCTTAAGTTGTGACAGAAGTAGTAGGCATATAGTCCCTTAAACATGTGAACACTAGGTCTTCTTCTCACATTCCTCCCCATTATTATAACTTCTCGGTTTCCCTTCAGTCAAGTCACATTTGTCAAATCAAGCCTGACTTTCTATGGTAGAAACAGAGAGTTTGGGTGCTCAGTTTAGTCCTACACAGACTTCAGTATTTGGTCCCCTTTGGACCATAAGGCCTCATTCCCACTTATTATCTAGCTCAGGTGGCTTTTCTGTGGTAGTCAACAAATGGAGAAAGGATTCTGTAGCCCCCTTCTTTCTAGTAAAAACAGCACTAGAGGAGTGGACCATGGAGTGGACCATGTTCGATCCTTCCATACCCTAGGGGCTTATTCCTGTTTGCTTCTGCCTTGACTTGTCAACAGAATGAACAGTTGTCCCACCACATCTTAACAATGGCTGGGAAGAAGTTAAGGAGCACATGTTGTCTTGGCTCAAGCAGGCAGAACCAGTAATGTTTAGTTCTTTATTCAATGCAAAAGGTGATCTCTGTTCAAATGAAAAACAGCTTGCCCTTGTAGATTAAAGGGAATAGAGCAAACTCAGTTGCTTTTCAGTATGTTAATCCTACTGTGTTTATGAAGTCACTATTGTATAGCATAGCTACCTTACAATTAAAAGAAAAGGCAGGCCGTATACATTGAGTTGTTTATAACTCTCGATTCATAAAATTTAAAAAATTCCTGATACATAAAATTTTAAAAACCTTTTAAAGTGTGTTTTAAATTTAGTAGCTTTAATTTGTAGTATGCTTAACTGTTTTTGTTTTTTTAAAATATTGGCCAGAATCCTATTGGATTTCACTTACTGGAGTAAATGAAATCACATAATACATGATGGCAGATTCCAGCTAATTAAAAAGGTGCCTAAGCAGATGTGGAACACCCCCTGAAGCATTTGATTATCCAGGTGGAACGTACATTGCACCAACATTGGGATACCTACATTGCCACAAAGGTATGTATCACCAGCAAAACCAGTACAGTAAAGCCATGAAACATCTCAAGGAAACAGAAGAATTTTCTGATGGATGATTAGCTTGCCAACATTTTTTTTACCAGACCTTGGTGACTTATGGAATGATGCCTGGATTTATTATCACTTGATTAATTACAAGATGGCACAGACATTTGAAACAGACACAGAGCATCAGCCCTGTCCAGCTTTCATCCACATTCCATATGGATTCCTAAAATCCTGGCTCAGAAAGGCTGGTCTTTCCTGGTCATGGTTTTCCAGAATGGTGTGAAGACCAAAAAGTGCTTTGAAGTAGCACTGAGAGGAGACCCATCTCATGAGCAGTTTCAAACCCCTCTTGGATACAAGTATTCTATTCTACCTTAACCAAGAGTCCCAAGTTTAATCAACAAAATACATCTCCCAAAATTGTTAAAAAGTGCCCTTCTTTGAAGAAGAATTTCTGATGAGTCAGCCCTTATCCAGGGAGAAGTCACATCAGCAAGAAGTTAGAATAAAAATAACTGGCCTTCCACACATACTATCCAGAGAAGATATCATATCCAACACCTCCAAAGCAGTCTCTAATTTTGCAAATTTCCTTAAGAATAAGGCCCACTGAAACCAGTGAGAATTTGATGAACATTTGACAAATTAAACTTACTAAGTTTGATCACTGAACTGAGATGTCATTACTGAAGTTCTCAGAAAGACCTTACTATAAATGGTCTGTAAAGTAGTTGCGATTCATGTGCCTACTCAATTGGGAAGACAGACTTTTCTCTGACCAAAGGACTTAGTAGAACTGAATGCTGGCTTGTTTGCCTTCCCACTGGGGAATCAAAGATCCTTGGAAATCCCCTTTTATTTGTGAACCAATGAAATAAAATACCTTGATGACAGATGATGATAAAGATGTGTGTCTCCCCAGGCAATTTTTACAAAAATGTATTTCAAAGCAGAACTGAACTTCCATGTTCCCCTATTCTTTTTTATAACAGTAAAATATACAGGCATTTTATATACACTTTCCAAAACATATACACCAAATGTTCTCTGCAGAGCTGAAAGTACCCAAGTTGATATTATATTATTTGTGAAAACTGACCATTTGCTGATGCGAGGATCATAGCTTGAAGCATTTCTGTATCAAACTGGTTGTTTGGCCAAGTTCCATTTTCATCTCCATTCTGAGATCTAAAGCAGAAAACAAAACAAAGGAAATATTAAAAGAAATACAGTATAGTAGAGACAGAGATACTATTAACAATGAAAGTGATGCATTCTTCTGTATTATGATTTATTCCTCATTGTTAAAACCACAACAACAAAGTACAAAGAAATATCCTTTTCTTGCAGGGAAAGGTTTGTGGGTGAGTGTACTCAGACTGGGCATCTGCTGCAAAGGAGGACTGCTGGGTTCCCATATATTTAATAGAGTAGTTGTGCAAGACAGCTTGTGATGCAATATCATTGCCTGCTGACATTCTCTGGACTTCACATCTGTTGCAACCACAAAGAATCCTACCATACCTTAAAGGAGATTTACAATGGCATTAGCTTTTGTGCACTAGTCTCTCCTTTGGCAGATGCACGAAGTGTAATCCTCAATGCAATCATCTGGTTATGTGATTTCCACAAAACATTTGCTACAATAACATGATATCTAAACATGAGGCTGAGATCATGGCAACAAAAGATTTTTCTACATTTTCTGTACTCAATCTCTGTGTTCTTTTTACCCTTCAGATTATGAGAAGCTGGCCTTGGTCACTATAAATCACACAAGTATAAGATCATTCAGATACAAGCAATAAGATATACTGAAAATGAGCTGAGGTTAGCTAGAGATACTAAAAGCAATAAAAAAAAGCATCTTTCAGGTATGTGAGTAACAAAAGACAACCAAAAGACAGTGGCACAGCTCCACAATAAGCATGGAAAAATGATAACAGAGGACAAAGAAAAGGCTTAATTCCTATTTTAGTTCCATCTTTTCCCATAAGACAGATTATGAACTTCCAAACAAATTGGAAGTGGAAGTGGGTGGGACAGGATTGTAGATTGTAGATTGATAAATAAAGAGTCAAGGAATACTTTACCACCTTGAACGAGTTCAAATCTCCAGGGCCAGATGAACTGCATCTGTGAGTACTGAAGGAAATGGCTGAAGAACTCTCAGAACTGCTATCCTTTATTTTCTTGAAAACATGGGGAACGGGGGAGGTGCCAGAGGATTGGAGGAGGGCTAATGTTGTCCCTATCTTCAAAAAGGGCAAAAAAGAGGAACCTGGGAACTATAGGCCAGTCAGCCTGACATCAATCCCAAGCAAAATTCTGGAACAGATCATAAAGTGGTCATTGTGCAAGCACCTAGAAAGCAATGCAGTAATAACTAGAAGCCAACACGGATTTGTCAAGAATAAATCCGGCTAAACTAATATGATCTCATTTTTTGTTCAGGTAACCTTTCTGATAGACAGAGGGAATGCCATAGCTTTTGACAAAGTGCCCCATGACATCCTGATTAGTAAGCTAACTAGGTGTGGGCTGGACAGATCAAGTGTCAGGTGGATACACAATTGGCTACAGAATCGTACTCAGAGGGTGACGATTAATGGGTCCTTCTGTAACTGAGAGGAGTTAACAAGTGGGGTACCCCAAGGCTCAGTCCTGTGCCCGGCGCTCTTCAATATTTTTATTAATTATTTGGATGAGGGAATGCATGGAATGCTTGTCAAATTAGCAGATGATACAAAACTGGGCAGAATAGCTATGTAATACCCTAGAACAGTAGTTCTTAACCTTTGTTACTCGGATGCTTTTGAACTGTAACTCCCAGAAACCCCAGTCAGGACAGCTGGTGGTGAAGGCTTCTGGGAGTTGCAGTCCAAAACTCCCGAGTAACCCAAGGTTAAGAACCAGTGCCCTAGAAGACAGAAACAAAATTCAAAATGACCTTGATAGGATGGAGCACTGGGCCGAAAACAACAGAATGAAATTCAACAGGGTTAAATGAAAAGTACTGCACCTCAGAAAAAGAAACAATTTGGGGGATACCTGGCTCAGCAAAACTATGAGTGAGAAGGATCTTGGAATGGTCATAGATCACAAGCTAAATATGAGCCAACAGCGTGATGTGGCTACAAAAATGGCAAATACTATTTTAGGGTGCATTAATAGAAGTATAGTTTCCAAATCCCACAAGGAGCTAGTCCCCCTCTATTCAGCACTGGTTAGGCCTCACCTCGAATATACTGTTTAGTTCTGGACACCACATTTGAAGAAGGATGCCAACAAGTTGGAACACATTCAGAGGAGGGCGACAAGGATAGTCAGGGGGCTGGAAACCAAGCTTTATGAGGAAAGGCTGAAAGAACTGGGCATGTTTATCCTTGAGAAAAGAAGACTGATAGATGATATGATAGAACTTTTCAAATATTTCAAAGGCTGTCATACAGAGGGGGGGGCAGGATCTGTTCTTGATCACCCCAGAGTGCAGGACATGCACCACTGGGCTCAAGTTAAAGGAAGCCAGATTTCAGTTGAATATCAGGAAAAACCTACTAACTGTTAGAGGAGTACAACAGTGGAACCAGTTACCTCAGGAGTTGGTGAGTGCTCCAACACTGGAGACATTCAAGAAAAACTTAGATAATCACTTGACAGATATGCTTTGATTGTATTCCTGCGTTGAGCAGGGGGTTGGACTTGATGGCCTTGTAGGCCCCACCCAACTTCACTTTTCTATGATTCTATGAAGCAAAAAAAATGGCATGAAGTGTATTCTTTCTACAGCAACTGCTGCCTGGATTTTTCCGTCTAAACATAATTCCCCAGAACCATGCATGATTCTAAAGTGGTGGGAGTGAGGATTCTTCTGGCTTGCTGAAAGTAAATTCAGAAGCTGCAGCACCATGACTATACTTCTTGTTAGGTATTCCCCACCACTACCTCTTCAAGCTGTGCTGTACACCATAATCATGCAAGCTATGCTTCAAACTCTAACCACAATACACTTGCAGCTCCTGCTGCTGCCACACATCCACTGCAGCCATTCACTCTCTCTGAGGAACCTCTCAGAGTACCATAATAGGCAGGTTGTGTGTGGGCTACCTCGAGAGTCAGTCACATCAGCTGCAGGGATCAGCTGGTTCAGCTCTCTAGATATCTGTCCAGCTCCAAATGCCCATCTTTGAGATGACTTTTCTTCAAGGAGGCACAGTGGGAAAGGTAGCGATAGGAGCTAGCTATGCATAGCTATTAGTCTTTACTGCTCCTTCTACTCTGTAGCCTAAGATGGGGGAGTAAAACTGCCGATCTTCTAGTTATTTCTTACTGTGATTGGTTTTTCTCATTTGATATAGCTTGCACATGATATAACTAAATGGATGTCTGTATTTAGCTTGCTTTGAAGCCATCTGGTCTGCAGCACTTTTAGTTCTTGCTTCTTAGTTGTGGTGTATTTAAAAAAATAGATTACACTGGCCCTATCACTGCCTGCTGAGCCACACTGCTGGGTTGCTGGACTTGCCCCTAGCCTATGAGTGTTCCTATTTTCATCTGTGAAATGTTGAAGGTTGGTTATGAAAGAGTCATGGGGAAAAAGCCAGTATTAGTGACACCATGCTAAAATGCACAGTTCTACAGCCTCTTGGGACTCATCACAACCAAACATGAAAAAGACAAGTGTTCTGCTTCTGCCTGTAGTATCACAGCCCAAAAGAGGTAATAATATTCAGTGTTAAGGAAATAGACAGGAAAACTGCATGAGATGGAGACAAAACAAAACAAATTGCTTTGAGAGACATTATTGAAATCTTATAAACAAAGCAAGTTTTTCTACATATTCTTATCTCCTAGGGACCTTAGCAATGTATTGTCTGATCTCGTGTAAGTTGGGCTGAGGAATGTTAGAATCTTCATATTCTCAAGGTGATTTATATATCATGCTAATGAGAACAACTTTATTCTCCTGTGGGTGGTATATGATGGGTTACAAAATTTTAAAAAAGTAGAGAGTAGTATATAATCTATATAATCAAAACGTTGAGATCCTTTCAGAATTCTTTCATGGGAAAACATCTTTAAATTAAAAACAAAGGAGATTATTTGCTGACTCCATCTCCCATCCATTCAGATGATTTTAGCAAAGTTTGAACTGAAAAACAGAATGCCACCTGTGAGGTATTGCTTGTTCATTATTTAAATTCTTAATTTTTACCCTGATAGCAGCGGCTGAAAATCCCAGAGTGAATTCTATAAAGCGAATAAGAATTGTAAACTAAACTAAAAACCAACATAAATTGATAGAACAGCATAAAATAATACTGGGCAGTTTAACAATGTTCAAGAAGGGCAGCACAAATTGAAATCTGCCAAGTTTTGCAGGACATTACAAAGGGACTGGGCATATAGTCATCACCCTGCCCATGTCCCCAATCCTGATGAACTTCCTTGGGAGGAGCATTCTAAAGTTGTAAGTGAAGGTCTCTTATTTCCTTTGACAGTGGAGGGAGAACAAAGAGCACAAGACAGCTTTCAAAAGAGGCTATAATATACTTACAGATTAGGTAGGAGAGAAAATTAGGATAAATCACCAAAGATTATGGCCAGGCTATATAGTACACAGATTACTGCCAGGCTATATAGTACGCTGTAACATCATATATAAGACTATCTTTCTCTGTGTGTCATATTGTGTGAAAGAGGAGAAAGAAACACAGACCAATTACTGTACTGTTCTGGACTGAATAAAATAGATCTTGCTTTCTTAAAAATGCCCTCCTATTCGACAGAGCTAGCTAGCTAGCACAGCTCAGCATCTTTCAGAGACTAGGCCCTCTTACCTCTAGCGCACTAGCAGTTTCCATGGCAACACATTCTGTGTGTATTACATTGAAATGCATCACAAATACTTCTTCCATTAAACCACTATATATCAATATGCATACTCCTGGACTCTGTTAGTCTCACAGGGTTTTATTTTTTGGGGGGGGGGAAGAGGGGGAAGGGGAGAGTTTTGATCAGAACATGCCTACATGCAGAAACTCCTGGGTTGGGTCTTCAGTTAAAAGACTGCTGAGCAGCTATAGAGAAACATCTTTGTCTGGAGAACTTCTCTCAGGGGGAGTTGACAGTATTAATTTGAATGGCATCACATAGAAAAGCAAACAAACTAGCTATCAGAGATCCTT